TTCGAAATCCAATCTTTGCTTTATTCGACTTCTTCACGATTATCCATAGGATGTAGATATTATTTCCTAGTAATCAAATAACGAAACTTCAAGAAAAATTTAGCTGAATAAAACTGTTTCGTTAAACAAGTCTATATATGTAAAAATTGAAAAGTCTTTTCTATTATTCTATTTGCGTTTTCAAGCTTTCAACAGCTTGAAGCTGAGGATGAAAGGGTCCTCATGATGAGAGTCAAAATTTGGTTGAAAAGCTGAAAAACTCGAATCAAATTAACGGATTTTATATTACTGAACAGTACTCAATCACAGTAAGGTTATCATTATAATTTTTTGGCGTTGACATCAAACATGTTGTCAAAAAAAACAACATATCACGAGTATTTTATTTTGATAAGACAAATGAAAATCATCGATAACACAATTGTCCGTATTTATCATCTAAGAACATCAAAAAGATTTTATTAATATTCATCTGTCATTGCTTTTTATCATGAGTTAATTCATAATTGAGTGAGTCACAGTTATTATGACAGATTTTTAGACAATGAAATTATATCTTGAATTATTCTCAACAGAAAATTTTGATGAAATTTTTGATTACTTAATTTCATTTGATCTTTTACAAGCTTTTTTTAATCTGAGTGATCAATTAGATTCTATCATTCAATCATATTCATTTCGAATTGATTTTCGATTTCTAATTTTATTTGTCGTTATCTTCAACTTGAACAAGTTATATCTCTTACTCATTCCGATCAAAACATGCCGAATCAAGTTCAACTTTTCCTCGAGTATTTTTCAAATTCTGAAAAAATATTTATTAATCTTCAAATAATACGATTGATCGAAACAGAAAGTATCTGTCTTCTTTTACCATTGAGTGTTTTATCTATCTCAATTCTAAATTATTGGAAGAACCAAGGTGTACATGATCAAAACATGCAAATACTTCCTGAACAAGTCAAATATTTAACACACTTACAAATCGATTGATATTTCATATCATGCATTAACTCATTTACTGATTAACTCTTGCTGAGTTAATGAACTCAATTGTATTCTTCGATGTCATGGATTGAACATAATACGTCTCAATGTTTTTATTGTCAAGGATTATCAACCAAAAGAAGACTTATTACTTGATTTAAATCAATTATTTCATTGTCTAACCCATTTAAACGTTTGTTTTTCTGAAGGTAAGAAAAAAATCTTTAGATATTTAGAATATTCATATATAATTTGATTCGATAGAAATGAATACGTCATTCAAACTATTAGAACCATGTTTATTCAGAATGTATCAATTAAAACAGTAATCAATCTAATTTTAAATATACTCTTGCAAATGATATCATAATACTTAAAAATATAAAAAACTTACTTTTTTTTATTTATGTCCTATTTTTGGTTTGAAGAAAAATGTTAGTATATCGTTTGTGAACAAGATAGATGACCGGAAATGAGAACATCAATTTATACAATTTCTTATTTTCGGCCACGATATACCAGATATCCTAGCAGCATCTTTCCACCCGTTTCTACAGGTTCAAAACGTATCGAACAACATTTATTTTATGACAGCAAGATTATTTTATCTTTATCGTATATTTTTCTCTGGTACAAATGAATTTTCTGCAAGACAACTCGGACTCAAACTATACACTTCATTTCTATACTCGTTTCATATTGAGATTGATGGCCGGATCCATCTGACACATAAAGGATAAATATCATTTCTACGCGGTTTCCTAATGACAATGAATTCTCTAACGCTACCGAATCGAAGCCACAAGTAGGGAATTGTATTTGTAACAAAAAAAAATGAGTTTTTACCATATGCCTTCCATATTTAATACAGATGGTTACAACAAAATTCTGTAGCTTATGTCACCTAGCATATCATAATGTGACGAGATTTGAATTTTCTGAAAATTGGAAATTACCATGCCCTCGTGTATTATCATCATCATGTATGGTTGATATTCTTAGAAAGTCCATCGATTCTAAAGTTCTGTATTCATCTCTCAAATAATAACGCAGGATATCTCAGGTCAGGATTCAAGTGTTTCCCGGAAGGATTCGCATTGAAGCTGGCTCCAAGTAGATCTCGACGAGATCTATCCAATGAACTGTTTTCTTTTCTCGAAAACAATCTTTCTTCCCAACAAAAAACCCTTTTTACTGCTAAAAAACACCCCAAAAAAAACGAAAACCAAAGTAAAACTTGTCGCGATTCGCTCAACGGCTGGCTCCAACAAAACAATTGATGGCTCCAGATAGACTTCGATCCGCTCTATCCAATGGGCACCTTGAAATTCCAATTGAGTGCTCCAGGACCCCCGAAATCGATCAATTCTGGCCCCAAAAACCAGGATATTTTGCCAAGTCTCGTTCCGATTCGCTCAACGACTGGCTCCAACAAAACGATTGATGGTTCCAGATAGAGCTCATTGAGTTCTGTCTAGAGCCATTAATGGTTTTGTTGGAGCTAGTCGTTGAGTGAATCCTGAAGGGTTCTAGCAAAAAAAACTGGTTTCCGACGGGGAAATTCCCGATTTCCTGACTCCGGAAACATCGAATCGATATCAAAATGGCTCCATTCGATAGAGCGGGTTGAGGTCTAACTGAAGACATTCATGGTTTTGTTGGAGCCGGTCTTTGAGCGAATCGCGACGAGTCTGGGCAAAATATCCTGGTTTTTGGGCCGGAATTGATCGATTTCGCGGGTTCAGGAGCACTCAATTTGAATTTCAAGATGCCCATTGGATAGAGCGGGTCCAGTTCTATTTGGAGCCATTAATGGTTTTGTTGGAGTCAATCGTTGAGTGAATCCTGAAGGGTTCTAGCAAAAAAAGCTGGTTTCGGGCGGAAATCGCCGATTTCCTGGCTTCCGAAACATCAAATTGACCTCAAAAGGCGTGCATTCGATAGAGCTCATCGAGTTCTATCTGGAGCCATTAATGGTTTTGTTGAAGCCAGTCGTTGAGCGAATCGGGATGGGTTTTACTTTGATTTTCGGTTTTTTAGCAGTAAAAAGGGTTTTTTGTTGGGAAGGAAGATTTTTTTCGAGAAAAAAACCAGTTCATTGGATAGACGTCGTCGAAATCTACTTGGAGCCAGCATCGTTGGAGTAGGAGCCAGCTTCAATGCGAATCCTTCCGGGAAAAACGCGAATCCAGACCTAAGATATTCTACGTAAATATTTATGTATTTCAATGTCCAATATGTATTGTTACATATGATTTAGATTTTTCATTTGATCATCGTGAACGAACACAATATTAGAGAAATAAAATAGTTAAAATTTCTAATGATCATAAAGATAAACGTATATTTTCTATTGCTGATGAAGAAAAATGTCTTCATTATTAAAAGAAGTTGTTATTATCTTAAAAGAAGTCATGCAAAATGTCAATATTTTTGATAATCAAATACATACACTTCGACTATTTGAAAAACATATCGATTGAAAAGTTGATGCTCATTGAGACTACCTCATTTTCATGCAACAAAAATTAGAAATTTTAAGTAAGTTTTTACTTCTATCAACGTAAAAATAACTTTGTTTTCTAGAATGTAATAGAATTCCAAATAAAATTAAAGTGAAGAGAAACACTTGTATCAGTGAAAAACTTTTATCATTGAAAATTTTTATTGTTAAAAAATTTACATTGCTCAATTTGTTTTTTTCTTATTTAAAGAGAAATTTATATTTTAAAGATGCCTCATTTGTTTGAACAATTAAATATTCTCTGTTGTGTCTTCTTTTTCTTTCTCGCTGGTCGTATCATTTCAATGTTATTTGTGTGTTCATATATAAAAGTTTATGCTCGTCCGCTTCGTATATTGATGAAACAAAGATAGACGAATTTATCTTTCACATTGTCTTTTCTTTATACATGCCCAACATATAAAATGAAGTAAGAAATGTCAATGTAGAAAAAACAAAAAAATCATTAGCTGACTGTAGTTGTTTGTTTTTCATACATTTGTTCATAGTGACTGTTCTCATGGCTTATATTACTTTTGATCCAAGTTATCTTGCTAAATGGGCTGCTAGTAAGTTATTTTTTTTTAGACGAAAAAATTCATTTCTAGTTTTGTTGACTCGAAGTCCATAGTAAAAATGTATTTATTTTTATTTTCATATATTTATCTACGGACAATTCAAATACTATTTCTCAGTGCATTAATTAATGATCTGTCAGTGACGAATTATTAGATGAGACAATTATGATAAATGACTTTGCCCACAATGGAATTCATTGGAAGTTAACTTGATCCACATGTTTGTAGCTGTTTCACATAGAAATTATAACGATGTGGGACCAAAAATCTAGATCAAAGCCTATTTTTGGTTTTGTTATTTGAACACTTGATAGGGCAAGATATAAACTTAAATTAATTGATATTTGATGAAATGAAAGCACACTGGCTGTTTGTTAATTTGATAAGAAGTTGTTGATGATTGCTTATTGAAAAATGAACAAGTCCCAAGAGCGATTCTGATTTGAGTTATTTGTATCAGTTGCTTTGTCATTAAAATCATCATGTCATATTCAGTCCTATTGGCAAAAGACGATGTTAGTGGAAAGGATAATTGAAAAAAGAATACTCATAAAAGTAAGACATTTCAGATGTCAACAGGAAAATTTGGCTCTGTGCAACAAAATCAAATTTTTATTAATTTAATCTTTGTTTCGAGATTTCTTGCAGTGGAAAAAGACCTCAATAAGAAAAAGGATGATTAATGAACTGTTGTTGTTTTTCTCATTCTTCTAACGTCTTTCTTTATTAGTTGTGTATTGGCAACGTTTGATAGATTAAATGTTTGATTTATAATAGATCATGTAAGAAAGACAAGAGAAAAAAATGACTTCTAGAAGAAATTTAGTCAAAATCAACAAATCACTTTTTCTAGCTTATGAATAATTTTGAAATATAATTTTATAGAAAATCGTAATGGTTTTACGATACATGATAGTGAAGTCATGATAAGAATGGATACTACATTTGAACTATGCAGAGACTTAACTACACTTGCAATGCATTTGAACTCTTCTGGATTTTTATTTTTCTATCATAATGCATTAATAGATTCGATTTATTTAGAGCTTGCAGACCTAGAAGAGAAATTAACCAATGAACAACTTGAATATTTACGTCAATGTGAGTATATTTATTCTATTGTCATACTTGTTAATATTCCATTATCTAACCTAGTTTATACAATGAAGAAATATCCCACCCGCAACGAACTCCAAGCAATTGCCAAACAATGGAATATTGATGATTGGGAATTTTATCATGATTTGGATGTCAGTATATTTCTTTTCATTAAGTCTAGTCGATATTAACATCTCTTGTTTAATTACAGGATTGGTTTTTCAGTCGACGTTTAGCTGAGCAAGTAGTTGTACTACGAAGTTATGAAGCACGAACAAGTGCAGCTTAATTTAGATATAAGTGTTGTTCTTGCTTTGTCGTCTTATATGTCTCGTTATTATTCATTAGTTGGAAGAATCAAATCGTTTCTTGTATCTCATTTCTGTAAAAGATAAATAAAACCAATACTTGTTTGTTATTATTTCACTTATACGTTTGTTTCAAGTGGATAAAGATTTTAATGGACAAAACAAAATCAAACATGATTATTTTTATTTAATCATATTAATCAGAGATCAGATGAAAACATATTTTATATATTAAATTCAAATTGACTTTCGTAGAATAATATCATCTAATTAAGACATTTATATAAATATTTCATTTACTTTTAACAATTTTCTACTAAGTAATTTATATAAACATTTCATTTCATGCATCTCCCTAATGAATGCACATTTTTCTTTATATAATATTCATACTTAAAGATACATAGAATCAGTGACGGAGCCAGGATTTTGGGCTAGAGTGGGCTCAGCCCCGCTCACAGTGGACAGCCAGACGAGAAAGTTTTTTTTTCTATGTATTCTAATTTTCCCGTTAGCATTGCGTGCGAAAAATTTGAGTATTTTTTGTTTGATAGCGTGCCAAATGCGCATCAAACTGGTGCACTCGCTTTTTGCCAAAAACGATTTGTCGAAAACAGTCATTTGGAATGGAAAATTTTTGTCACCTGACCTTTATTTACTGCCCACTGTGCTCACCGATTCCACCCGATCTGACGAGATTTTTGAAAGATGTATTTCTATCTGATAGAAAAATGTATCTTGAGAGTGATCGGAAAATTATTAAACAAGATGCTTGTTCACTTTTGGTCTGCTGGAAAGCATTTCCGATTAGTCAAAAGTTGTGAGTTAGGACCAAAAACTTGTGCTCTTTTCGAATATGGGTGTAGAAATTTTTCTGTTTTTGTTCGCGGGTGTGGGGTGGGTGTAGGTTGTGAAGAAAATATCGACACTGCACCAACGCCCCACACCCACCCACACCCTATTTATATATAAGTATTACAATTTTCACGATAATGACCATAAATAATATGAGTCACTAGAATTACAAGAAAAATCTGATAAATCAGGTCGATTAACACATGTTGCATTATTTCGACAAAGTAATGAACCATATAGACAGAAATCTATAGGAAAATGATTTATTATAAAAAAGAAAAACGTTTATTATTTATACCAAGATTTGCATAATCTTTACCTAACGTTTGTGTTACGTCACAAAAACAATTCCAATTTCAACCATCATCATCAGCAGCAACACAACGAATTGGAAAATCAACTGTACTATTACATGGATTTGTTAAATTTAATATATCATATGCTGTATATTGTGCTGTTGATAATCCACTAGCATCACATAGTTTTCGATTTATACGAGCGGCACAGCCGCTCCGCTCGTACCGGAGACTGCTTAATCCTCGAAAAATATAATCCAGCTAAACTAACTATCAATATCATCGACATATATGTATATATCGATGACAAATCGCATAGAAACAAAAACGAAAACAATGTAGAGATTGTTGAGACGATAGATATCGTCCCATAACAATATCCAAAAGGTAAAGTACAATTAGGTACAGCTAGAAACAAACAAAAAAAAACAATAGAAAATATAATAAAAATTCTATTTATTATTATTTTTTACGATTAAGTGGTTGAATTTCTTCGGAATCTAAAAGATCATTATCAATAAATGTTGCATTAAATTGTGGCGGACGATTTGAAAGTATTAGTGTAAGTATGTTTGAAATATCAATTTGACTAATATTATTCGAATATCAAAGATCAGCAGAAATTTGATAATAATTTTCTTGAGATATTCGAAATCTGAAGAAAAAAAAAAATAAATATAAAAAAAGTTATTTTTTAATTTTGTTTTATTAATATACATTGTAAAAACTAATGGTAAAAAATTAAAACTTGAATTTATACTGTTACGAACAAGATTTCGAAATATTGTTGATAAATTTTGATATGTTTGTGTTGTGAGAAATTCTAATGCATTTAATGTTGTTTGAAATATATTTGGAGCAGAAAAACAGCTTTTAATCGATAATAAGCTAAAATTAAGAATTATTTGTTTATTTTTTCAAAAAATTTCTTTGTAAAAAAATATTTTACCATGTGTACATATAAACATCCTGTATAACAATCTGTACAATTACATATAAATGATGATATGAATTACCAAATGTCCATCGACTTGATGGAATACATATACCATATATACATGGTTTTTGTGCACAATAATCAACTAAAATAATAATAATAATCAATCAAATTATATTAAATTTTAATCAATAATCTTATTCATAGTTTGACAACTTATCGGTTGACCAAAAATATTTCTACACCATGATATTCTTCTTGCAAGTAAGTCACTTGTTGTTATACATGTATTATATGTTCGATTTTGATTATCAATAAAAGGAAATACACAACCATTTATATCTATTTAAAAAATGTTTATTAATAAATAAAATACGTATTAACCCATTCGCGTCGATATGAGTATTGCTTTCTCATAATTCGTGAAAGGTTTCATTTCTTTATTTGTAGCAAATGTAGTACTTCAACACAACTTTTATCGATGTTTCTCTTATCAGTATGAGCTATGAACATTCCTCTATCAACGATAAAAAAATCAGCTCCTTTGGTCAAAGGATGGCACAGACACTCAATTTTTTCTACGATAAACGAGCTTTTGGACCACCCTATAGTGGGTCCCACCGGGGGGACCCATCGCAGCGAAAGGGTTAAATTAGTTTGCTATATTAACAATTAGTTCCTCTATAACCAGTTGCACAATTACATCGATAATAAATAACCCATTGATAATGTAATATATATTCCGTTATAAAGACAATTAACATCATTACATTGAGTAACTATAAAAATAAAAGAATTTTTTTCTTATTGATAGTTTTTTTCTTATTTTATTTCTTCATACGTTGATCATAATTTGTATCCGTTATACCACTTGAACATACACAATAAGTTATATGACGACTTGTTACAACTAGGGATGCAACAAATCCATAATGGATTTGGGATTTTGGACCAAACCCTTTTGGTTTTGGATTTGGATTTGGGTTTGGGTTTGGATTTGTTATGTGATATTTGGTTTGAATTTGGTCCCGAATCCTTTAAATAGTTTGGGATTTGGTTAAGTAAAGTATTAGATACAATCAGTTCTACGAGATTCTTATAAGCCGTTCATTATGTATTTATAACTGCAGCCGGGGAAAATAGAGAATGTGGCTGTATCGGCTTTTTGAAGTCATCTAAATATCAATTCATTAAAAGCGATTTTCTTTCAGCTTATTTGCTAAGTATAAATCAGAGATGGGCAAGTCAAGTCATATTCGACTTGACTTGGAATTTTTCAGAAATGACTTGACTTGACTTGTGACTTGATTCAAAGCGACTCTGACTTGACTTGAAAATTTTTTGAATTAATTATGACTTGACTTGTGACTTGGTCGTATATAAAAAAGTCAAGTCAAGTCTAGAAATGTATATATGTAAAGGTGTTTTATTCACTTCAATTTCGGTTTTCTAACTTGAAATGTAGTGGAAAAATAGAAATGAAGATCAGCAAATATGTCCATAGAGTGAATTCGCGTGAAATAAGATGATGGCTGTTGAAATACGTAGAAAATCTTTTTCCTCAACTTTTATTGGGCATTTCATTTCCCAAAAATCTGTTTAACGGAAATACGTTGTTTTCTTTGTTTTTATAATAATTAAATTAATAAATAATTTAGCAAACGATAGTAAAACTATAATATGGATGAAGGAAACAATGTTTTCGATAATTTGCCTTCAACTAAAGAAAACTTGATGAAAATCGGTTTGAACTCTAACTTGACTTGACTTGACTTGTGACTTGATTCAAAGCGATTCTGACTTGGCTTGACTTGACTTGGAATTTTTACGAAATGACTTGACTTGACTTGAATCATAAAATCGTTGACTTGCCCATCTCTGGTATAAATGTGTCGTATTTTCATGCTTCTAGACGTTTCTGAATAGTTGTTATCTATCGAACATCTGCAATCAAATATTATGGTCTAAGAGCCTCGAACATAGTAAGTGTTCTCGTGGATTTAGGAGATACGTGATAAATAGAGAGAATGAAGTGATATGTCGAACAAGGGAGAGAATGAAAAGTGATATGTACATCAAAGTAGAGGAAGCGAGGCGAAATATGCCCTCGAGGTAATGTGATGTCAAGCATGACTGAAAGAGAGTGACAGAGCTGGATTTACCCTAATAACGCTTTTCACTTTTTTCGTTACGGTTTTGTCTCGTTAATTGACGATTCATTTTCATTACACTTATATTGATATTTTTTCTATTAAGTAAATTTCTTTCAGGACACAGACAAATTTTTTTAATAGCTTTTATGAGTATAATTCCATTGTTCAATTATATATTTCTAACTGTTCTATATGATGAAAGAAAAGACAAACAAAAGATAGATAGAGCTAGAACCTACTTATACAAATAGAACAGAATACATTTTGATGAGCATTGCCTTTGAAAAGCAATAGTCTAGTAGCTGATAATAACAAGGTTTACTTTTTATACGACATTATGCACTCTCTTTGTGACGGGACGTGTTTTTATTCGCCATTGCATGGAACGAGCGAATCTATAGCAATTTATGCAACTTTAATCCATATTTACTGCATTCCTAGGATGAATAAAATTTAAGACACTAGACGTCTTGTATTAAATTGAAAGTTTTATATTTATCAAAAGATCACACCAATATATCTGTATTAAGGTATAAAGGGTGTTCACTAAGTTTTGACCCGTTTAATCAATAAATTTATTGATTAAGCGGGTCAAAATTTAGTGAACACCCTTTATGTGTCTCATTCTAAGATTGTCACCCTGTACGTAACATCAAGATATTTGACTTTAGAGGAACTTTGAGTCATCTATTGTTAGAATGTGTTGATGATCTATACACCGACACGCATTACATCTTCTTTTCTGTTCGGTTGCATCACCTCTTTTCAGTTCCGTTGAATTATACACAAGGGGAAAACATCATACTTTTGTACTTCAAGTACATAGAAGTACATAAAGTACATAGGAGTACGTAGGAGTACATAGAAGTACATGGAAGTACGGAGAACACTGTAAAAAAAAAGCGTAGAATAATAAACCCTTTCAGGGTTTATGAAAGTGCAACGAATAATATACCCTTTTTACCATATGTTACACTTTTCATAAACCCTTTCGTAAACCCTTTGGAAGGGTATATGAAAGGGTATATGAAAGGGTATATGATTCTCATAATCCCTTATGAGGGTTTATTATTCTACGCTTCTTTTTTACAGTGAACGTTGAAGACAATCTAAAATAAAATAAAAAATATTGATTTACTTAATATACTTACGTGTGCTGAATTTAGACGTTCAACANAAATATCGATTATCACAACAAATTATGATACTATCTCCTTAAAAACTAGATTTGTCTTTAACTAAAATCGTTCGTAGTTCAGCCCAAATCGACGATCCCTACTCGTGCATTATGAGTGTTAGTTTACCCATAACAAAAAAAAAATAAACCAGCTAGTATATTCTATTTTTAACTTCTATTAAAATTCTTCGCAGCTAGGTCCAAACGAAAATCGAAATTCAAACTCTGTTAAATTCAATTTCAGTTGTTTTTTAAATTTAATTTATTCAAATTGAAAATAATGTTAAGTCTCAAATTTTTGGTTTTCAAATTTCAAAAAATTACTGACAACAATTTTAATACGACTTAAACTTTCAGTTATATTTTTAAACATGAAAGAAATTTATAGAGTTCGCTAAAGATTGAGTTTCATTATTTTAATTTAACTAGCTGTAATTTGTAGAGTGCGCTAAAATATAGTAGTGCTTTTTTTTATTCTTAATTGACTGCAATTTATAGAGTTCGCCAGACATAATTGTTACTATGAATGCCATCAACTGTTTTTTATATTGAACAGATCATATAATTATGATTATAAAATGGAGACAACTAATTGGGGTGCAAAAACATTTATACATAAAAATCAAAAATACAAAAATGATGTTCTGAAAAAGACGGCTTAGAAATATAGATGTTGATGAGCGTGTTCTCTTGACGACCACAGCTCGATCTGCCCACACCACATTCGAAACAAATATCGATTATCACAACAAATTATGATACTATCTCCTTAAAAACTCGATTTGTCTTTAACTAAAATCGTTCGTAGTTCAGCCCAAATCGACGATCCCTGCTCGTGCATTATGAGTGTTAGTTTACCCATAACAAAAGAAAAACAAACCAGCTAGTACATTCTATTTTTAACTTCTATTAAAATTCTTCGCAGCTAGGTCCAAACGAAAATCTTAATTCAACCAAAACCTAACGACCTCTATAAATTACAGCAATGGTACTAAATTTAAAAAATTTCTCTGATCAAAAACTTGCGTCCTCTACAAATTGCAGCATGCTTAGTAAAAAGAAATTAACTTTTTATTAAAATCTTTTAAAACAATTTACTTTCAATATTCGTTTGCAGTAATCAAATTTTTAAAAGTTAAATATAAATTATAATCGTTTTACGAAAAATTAATAAAATTATCAAATTTAACTCAAACGAATTTTTAAAAATTTTTATTTACTTAAAATTTATTTTCTTTATGTTCGCAAATGAGAAGTAGCCCAATTTGGCAATGTTTAAACTTACTTCAGATTGTACACGATTGCTTATAAGAAAAAAATCTATGATGCTTAGTTCAACTTTTTTCTCTTCGTATTGTTCGACTTGTCAAGCATCCAATTTATTTGAAAGCTACGAAANATGTACAAGGTTTTGATGTTGACGAGGAACAGTTGCGTAAACACTGCCATTCTCGTCTTCCAGCATTCATGGTCCCATCCGCGTTCATTGTACTCGAAAAGCTGCCATTGAATGCAAACGGAAAGCTCGATCGAAAGCTTCTGTCCTCACCGGAGTTTCGCATGATGGCGAGTACGATATCTCGCGAACCTTTGAACGAACTGGAGAATGAAGTGCATCGTTTTTGGTGCCAAGTTTTGCAACGGCATGGAGATGAAATTCCCGTTACAGCGAATTTTTTTACCATCGGTGGACATTCACTGCTACTCATGGAACTTTTTGGCGTTTATCAGTCGTCATATGGTTTCGAAGAGGGAGAGCTATGCATTGAAGATTTTCTTCGTCACGCAACCATTGCTGACCACGCCGCACTACTGTATACAAAAATGACACATTAGTGTCAGAAGATGAGACTGTGTGACCACTGAAGGTTCCATCATTGTCCCTTTGTCATTTGTCTTTCCTTTCTCTGCCATATGGTTCGTCATCTAGTATTCTTTTTTCCTTCTCATCTTTCATCGGTTTCGCTTCTCTCTCTCTCTCTGTTTTTCAACAGTTATTATCATATTCAGTTGTAGTTGTTATCTTCACGAGACAATATTCTTTTCTCTATTCTTTCGAGATTCTTTTTATCAGAAAAATTCGTCAAGAGTCTTTTTCTATAGGCA